GGGAGCCCGATGCGGGACTCGATCCCAGGACTCCAGGATCATGACCTGAGCCGAAGGCAGTCGCCCAACCAACTGAGCCACCCAGGCGCCCCTCACCCATTCTTAATAAAAGCCGGAGTCCCCGAAGGCCCATAACCCTCCTTCAATGACTCCATGTGACCATTTATTTCAGGAACAGGCTCATCATTACCTGGGCAAGAAAGGGCTCACTGACCTAGTGTTAAAGGATGGGTTCCGTGCCAAGCAGTGAAACACTGTCTGTGACTCTTCTGGCTGGGAAGTTTGAAAAATTGAAAAGTTCTGTACTGCTGAGCAGTTTCTGAACAAGCTTTAATTTGTTGCTGTAATGCTTTGTTCTTCCCCTTTGTCTTGTCGTACTCATTTGGCTCCATCTTTCTCTTTTTCCCTTTAATGCAATTTTTTTTATATCTAAAACCAGAGAACAGGGCTTCTAGACTCAGGCCTTCTGGTCCAAAGTAAAAACAGCCATCAGAGCATTAAACTGGATCTCTCAAAAGCAAGAACTGTCAGTGTGTGTACATACACGTCCACGCACATGCATACCAGAGGCTGCCTTTCCCTGGTCTCTGAAGATTAGCCGTCTACTACTGAGTAAACAACAGAGATACTAAATTATAAGTAAAGCCTCAGGGCCAGAAATAACTACGGCTCCAGCTGTTTAGGACATGTGGTACATCTGGCCAGTGGGCACCAGCTGACTGTTTCCCATGGAGGCACATAGTGAAGACTGTGTGTCTTGAGCCCAAGCTATTTAGGACTTTTGTACCTTGAGTCAAACTTAGGAGACAACGAGCAGCCAGGGCAATTTGGAACACAATGCACTTATTCCCTGTGGCCCAAACCACTTAGTAGTTGAGCTGATTAATTCTGTATTCATGGAACCTCAGAGGGTTGTCTAAGGTTGGCTCCAGACAGATTTGTACCTTGTAATAATCCAGTATAGCAAGTCCCAGGTGCATGGCTCTGGGAAACAGGGATGAGCAAAGAAGCCTTTGCCAGACTGTTTGGGAAAGGCAAAAAAAAATTTTAAGACTTAATTTTTTAGAGCAGTTTTAGGTTCGTGGCAAAATCGAGAAGGTACCAGAGATTTCTGGTATACCCCTGCCCCCACATCACAGCCTCCCCCATTATCAGCATCCCCTACCAGAGTGGGACAGTTGTTACAATTGATGAACCTACATTGACACATCGTAATCACCCAGAGTCCCTAGTTTACATTATGGTTGACCCTTGCTGTTGTACATTTTGTGGGTTTGGACAAATGTATAATGACATGTATCCATCATTATAGTATCCTATAGAATATTTTCACTGCCCTAAAAATCCTCTGTGCTCCCCCTATTCACCCCTCCCCAACCCCCCAACCTCTGGCAACCACTGATCTGTTTACTGTTTCCACAGTTTGGTCTTTTTCCAGAATGTTACATGGTTGGAATCACACAGTATGTGGACTTTTCAGATTGGCTTCTTTCACTTAGTACTAGGCATTTAAGTTTCCTCCATATCTTTTCATGGGCTCAATAGCTTATTGCTTTTAGCCCTGAGTAATATCCCATTGTCTGGATGTACCAAGGTTTATTTACACATTCATCTTCTGAAGGACATCTTGGAAGCTTCCCAGTTTTAGCAGTTATGAATAAAGCTGCTATAAACATCCGTGTGCAGATTTTTGTGTGGACATAACTTTTCAACTCCTTTGTGTAAATACCAAGGAGTGCAAACATTTTTAAGATTTGTTTTAGTTTCCATTTATGTTTTTTTTATTTTAATAACATTAAAACCCACCCTGTACGGGTGGGTGTATATGGGTCATCTTTTAGAAAAAAGTTCTTTTGCCTTCTCTGTACATATCCAGTTTTTTAAATCCTTTGATTTTTTCTTTCACAGTTTCTCCCAGAGTTTCCCCTTCCTCTTATCTCCCACTCCCATTTCTTTTACCTCCTTACATTTATTTTAGATAATTGGGAATATATGAGCTGATCGTCCCTGCCTCCTTCCTGTTACTAAAATGGCCTTGTTAAACCATTGATTTCATCAGGAGACCTGTCTCCTCAAGTCCAGGCACCTCCTCTGGCCTTAAGGGACTTCCATAACCCAGTTCTCTCTTTCACCCCTAAACGTGGAAATTCATTTCCTAGAGATCACCTAACCAGTCCTCCAGTTTATGATTCTAAGATGTCTTCTCCAAATCCCTTGGACTTACCAAGCCAAACCAGACAGGACACAAACATCATTAGATAATAGGGATTCACATTACGTGAATGTGCAGTAGGCTCATCTAGGCTAACCCAGATGGATCTGTAAAGAGAAGGTATTGATCAAACTTAAGCCCTGGTACGTTCAGGTTTAACCCAGGCTCCTCCACGGTGCCACTTCTGTGCAGGACAGAAGAGTAGAAGTCAGGTTCTTGACACCCTTTCTTTGAACAGTAGCCAGCCCCTGTTTCCTACTTATTTCATTCTGCTGTTACGGGACGTGATGTCTTAGTTTTTCCAGATAAACAGGCATTTAGAGTACATTTCCTATTCATTGTGTTTCACAGAGGAATTTGTATTCTAGTACTTTGGTGACTTGTGTAAGGTCATGGACCCAGCACCTGTCAGAAGTGGGAGTCCTGGCTGCCCGGTCCTTTGTCATTCACTGTGGTGCAGGCTGCAGTGGTCCCAGGGTGAGTCAGGGTGGCACATGCTTGGTCTGCAGTCTTTTTCGTTAGTTGTTTGGTGGTTCAGGCTTGGTTTTGTTTGTTTGTTTTTAAGGATTCAGATTTTTTTGTGTGTTTTGAGGAAGGGGGGCAAGTACATACTGATCAAGAAGCTTTTCAAAAATTAACATATCTCTGAAAATAGCCTCGCCCTCAAGATTACATTCATCTAGACAAGGACAATATTCAGTATATTTGGTACATGAGAATGTATGCCCCCCCCAAAAAAAATGTATGCCCAGAGTGTAGTTTGCAACTACTTGATGTATAAAGACATATTTCAACAGATACCCAAGTATGACTTAAACTAGGAAAGCCAATACTTTGGTCATGTTACTTATCTTCTGTCGATATTAATCAGACTTCCTGTTATAGTACCTTAAAATAATTTGTCTGTAAGCGTGAGACTTGCAATGACATTCATAGGGATCAGCAGTCATGCTGTTAATGAATGTAAACGTATTATCCTTTGCCATTGGGGGTGCAGAGTATTGTTTCCCATCTGTTAATGAAATACATGCACAGAGGAGTTGAGAAGAAAGCAAGCTACCATTATACGTGATCAATCAATTTGAATGTACCCTGTGGGAGTACTGTTTGGTTTCTAGTTTTCCAGGAAGTATTGGGATCACTAAATCGATTTTTCATATATTTGACAGCATATGTTTAAAGTATCGTGTGGGAGGGTTGTTTCCACACCAGCCACTCTGGATGACTAATTCTGTTTCATAAACCACCCCAGTGTCGTTGTTTCCAAATAGCAACGACTCATCTTACTTATTGTTTCTTTGATTGAGTTCTTAAGTGTTAGAGTGTAATAGCATTAAATTCAGGAAATGGAATTTTAATTACTGATTAAATAAGCTGGCATTCTTGTATATTCATTAATCTGTGTTGTGCACAGTTAATGGGATAATCAAAATTTTAAAAGCAACTCCAAAATGGTACCTGATCATCTCGGGTCCCTGATTGCTGTCCACACATGTGTCCACAGATAGGGGGGTGTCAGGTATCTGGAGCCCCGGAGTTCCCATCAATAGACCCTGACTGGCTGTTGACTTTGGGCAGATCGTTTGAGTTTTCCATTGTACTCACCTTGCAGGTGAAACGGCCCTACATGAAGTTTCCCATCTTCTTTGACCTGCACTCCTAAGCGACCTGGCATAGGGAAGACCTGTTAAGTTTCCACTGTGACGTTTTTCTGCCTCTTCTCATACTCACAGAAGGCTATGGAATCTTCTAAAACGTCCTCGCAGATTACGGTTGTAAAATTGAAGGCCGCATGTGGTGGCGATGATGAGTGAACACTTACCTAGCACCCCACGCACCGGACTGTTCTAAGTACTTGTGGTGCAGTGACCCTTACTTGGCAGCAGAGAATACCTCGGTCCCTCACTGATGCTCCTCTCTTGCTACTCATGGGGTCCGGTTGTGCCTTGTGATCCTTGTGCTCCCCCCCCACCCCCCCAGTGAGTTTGTGGACTAACCTAGGACTTCTGCTTCCTTCTAGGTATCATTTATCACTGTGACCTCACCAAAGAGGAGCTGGAGCCACGAGTCTTCCGAGAGGTTACTGTGAAAGGGATCGATGCTTCCGATTACCAGACAGTCCAGGTATGGAGCATTTACAAGAGTCAGAAAACCTGGCTGCCAGGCCGGGCCATCCCCACCCTAGTGGGTCAGGAGCCGTGGAGGGAGTGCTCGGGAGTACGGACCACAGGTGTTGTCCCGGGCACGGAGCATCGTCCCGCCCTCCTAGAGCATGCAGCTTCTGCTCGCATAGCTGCTGCTCTCCACGGGAAGCTGGAGCCCCCGTGCGGGGGTCTTACTGCAGGAGCTGCCAAAGCAACACCATTTGTCTGCTTGCCTGAGAATTGGCTAGCCCAGGTCTTGGGGTGTCTCAAGTAACAACGTGGATCTGCTCTATACAAAGTCTTGACTCGAGCGCTGCCAGTCTGTCTTTTCTGCCTGACGGTCACAGGTGCTTGTGCCTGGCACAGCCGAGGCACTCCGTAAAATGCTAGAACGAATGACTTAACTGATTGTCACGGCACCACAAGCTCCGTCTCTGGCCACCCATCCTTTCAGGTTAAGAATCTCCATTTTTGTTTTTCCAGCTCCCCAAAGGCATTAAGTCTTCCAGAAACCGAATCACTTATTGATTGAGGATGTAGCATGTCTGTTTCCTTTGCAATGGAAGGTCACCTGTGAGGTACCAGGTGTTTACCAGGCCTTTCCCACCTGGACGGCTGGACCACACAGACCACAGATTAGGAATCCGAACTCTGGGAAGGAAGTGTAGAACACAGAGCTGGATGCTCCCAAGGATGTTTCTGTGAAATCAGGGCATTACTTTAGCTTGTTGAGTTACCCTTCTCCTGTCTAGAAACGGTCAAGATGATGGGCTAGATCTAGATCGTAAGTAAAGTGTTGTTTACAGAAACCCATGGTGGGCAGGATCTGGCCCAGGCTGCAGCCTGTCACCCCCTTGTTCTAGATCAGGAGTTGGCAAACGGGCCTCTGGTTTTGTGGGAGAACAGCCATGCCCATCTGTTTACATAGTGTTGGTGCATTAATAGGGTGGGTGCAGAAGGCCTATATGGCCCACTAAGTCTAAACTACTTAGTATTTGGTCCTCTAAGAAAAAGTTTACTAATCCCTGGTCTATATTAAAAAGTACTTCTAAAATCCAAATGTTCTCAGTAGGTGCACA